ATACATGCAAAATCGAGGTGTTTTTCTGGACAGGCTCCTTGGCAAATACTTCAGTCCATGGTCTCAATAGCTGAAGTCACCCTGTCACAAAAAGAAAAAGAAAAAAAAATGTATTTGAGAGCTAGTAGTTGGAGTTGCCTAATGAAAAGGAAAACTTTATATGGCAATTAATTTTGTCTGTGCAATTATTTTTGTAATTGCACTGTATATTATCTATGTATTTTATCTAAATGCTGTCCAAGTATTTTAAATAGATAATTTGGGAGCTGGAAGCATGGTTTTCTATCTAAATTTTTTAAACCTTTGTTGTAAGCCGGGGATACAAGTGTGAGTGGCTAATGAGGACATTTTCAACAAGGACAGAGAGGCAAAGATATTTGAATATTCTGGCTTTGGACATTTACCCAGCTGGCGCGGTGCTGAAGGATGCAGTGTCTGCCTTGAAGGATCTGAAAGGGCCACTGGCTGGCCACCCAGCTGGTGCCTGGTTTTCCAGGCACACGATCTGACTTTAATCTAGTGTTTTGCCAGGATTTGTCATAGAAAAGATTTCAAAAATAGAGTACTGTATCCTGGTTAAATGACATTTTCTAAAAATATCAAACCAAACTTATTTTCCAAAGACTTTCTGATCTCCAATCTTACTATGCCAGCACAAGGTACCGTCCCCTCGGGTGCCCGGCCTGCTCCCAAAGCAGCGGGGCTGATCTGCCGTGGGGCGCTTCCCTGCCGACAGGAGGTGGGAGAGGTCTCGCCCCTTCCTTCCCGCCCTTTGGGGGGACGGGGGGGACGGGGGCAGCCCAAAGCCGCCTCCAGTTCCTCAGAATTTACCTGACAAAATCCAGCCCTGCCGCCTGTAAACTCAGGGTTAAGCATAGCAAAGGTTTTTGATTACACAGACGTGTCTGTTGATGCCATCACAAATGTAAGCTGTGGCTTTCTTTTCCTCAGCACAAACTTCCCTGCTCGCACAGATTCACCCAAGGCAGTTTTCTTGCCCCCCTCTGTCTTTGCAACGCCAGAGTCTCAAAGGTCACGGTGCAGAGAGTTTGCCAGCATCAGGAAGAACCTAGCTTAGAACAAAACCGACCAAAACTAGTAATTAAGCCACATTCTGTTTTTTTTTCAAAAAAGTTCTTATTTTAAAAAGTTCTTGTCCCCCAAAAGCAGCTGCATAATACATGAATATTGCATGATAAAAAAAACTTTGACAACCAAGAGTTCAGCAGTCATTTCCTTAGAGATTTTCCTTATATTTCCATTAATAATATAAATTATAAATGTCTTAAGTTAGAACATTACATACCATTTTCAGGGGATTCATTACTTATTTAATCTGAAACTGCATGCTTCTGCTTTCCATAATGGCTATCAAATGCAATGTCAAGGTTTTCTTAAACTAACCTGCTTGTAAAGGACTTAGTTCACAACATATGGTTATTTCTTCTTCAAAAAATATAAGAGAATATTTGTTACCAAATGAAAACTGCAAGAAACATATGATCATTATACTATGTTACTGGGTTTGAGCACAACCATTAATTGCAAAGTTATCACTGGCCATGAAATACACAAGAACATTTAACTGCCTCCCACAGTGACCATGAAAATACAGAGAATGATGGTTTAATTAGTAATCCCAGAGATACTGGGCAATGCTCAAAAGCTGAAGAACTACCAGTGTTCTTGCTGTGAAGGAGGTACTCGAAACCTTTCAACCAGTCTATTCAGCCTTAGGTCTTTGCTGTCAAAGACGATAGCCTGAAATTACCAGATTATTTTATATAGGCCTTTGACAACAACACTGCATCATATAGTGAAAGGTCTGTTTCCTTTCTGTTTCAAATTCCATACTTTGCTCCGATGCCTATGCAGACTTCAGTCAGAAAGTATTTCTCATTTACATGACCTAGATAGAATAATAGTGAGAAAGATGTTCCTTGATCTTTTTTTTTTTTTTTCTGTTGATTTGCTGTATTCAGCCTGGAAGAAAAACATAATCATGGGAATGCATTGTTTCTTTTATGTCAGTATTAGGAAGCAATGCAAGGTAGATTGGGGGATAGATTTAGGCAGAAGCCTTGCAATAAATTGGCAGAAAACCGCATGGAATAGTTTTAAGGATTACACAGTTTTGCTTATTTTTAAAAAAAGTTTCTCATTTAGTGACTTTTCAAAGCTGATTTTCCTACAGTGACCTGTAGCTGACAGTATCTGTAAGCCAGGTGGTTTAACTCTAGCACAGCTATGTTTAGAACCGTGTCAGTAATAACAATGATAGCTCAGTGCAATGGGTGGCTTCTTCCATGATTACTCATTTCAGAGTCATTACCTCAGCTGGCATACTGGACAACCTATATTAAAAAGTGCTATGAACGGACTTGAACTGTGGTTACTGAAATAGTCTGAGCACATCTGGGCTCCATTTGGCCTTAGCCATTGCTCAGCTGTATCCATTACTGAGATCTGTGGTCGGTTGTGGGCTGCTTTTCTGATCTAGACAAGGCTTCCCATGTTTCTTTGACATTCTCAGATGACAGGGTGTAAGGAATAAATCTTTCTTGAGATAAAGCAAGAAGCAGAGGAAATACCCAGGTACAATCTTCCACGGACTGCTATGATGAACATATCCACGAGTTAAGTTAAAGGAGCATTTGTCTGGGTTAGAATGACAAACTACAGCTATCCACACCGATCTGTGCAATGGATAATGAAGCTGGATAAATCATCTGCTCGAGGAGAGAGACTTACTGTTCTTAACAACTTTAAATATTCCATTCCAAGAAGTAATACAAAAAAATAGACAGTTGTCCAAAAGGTTGTAGAATCCCAAAATACTGACAAACTGTGGCTAGTAATAATAAAGAAAAACACAGGAGATTATCTAATAATTGAGGTATTTCAGATCAGTTATAGTTACTGCCTGAACTAGGACCATGGTGGTGAGTAACAGTATGAATAAATGAAAATACAAACCATCTTTGTGGAGAAGAGCCTCAGTAATGGGACATGAGAAAGTTTTAAAAAGTACTCATTCTGAAAATGGAAGTACTGATTCCAAAGTAAGAGCTTCTCTGGTCATCCAAGGACAATAAAAATTAATGGAAAAATGCCCAGTGACATTGATGGGCTTTGAATTCAGGCTCCATCCTCTTTCAGAAACATGTCAAAATATAGCAAAAACTGTTTGCCTGGTCAAGCACGGGTAGGAAATGTGAGACAAAAGGACATTGACATAATGTCTATCAAATTACAGGAAATGGGGAAATAGTCCAATCATGAATGTAGATTGTTTAATGTAATTGTGTCTAAATACTAAATTCATACACGACATAGTTTATCTTACATTCTTCCATGCTTGTCCATAAAAAGAATTTAAGAGAGGTGATCATTTTGTGAAAATTTTAAGAAAGCATAGCCTCAAAACAACCAGCTTGTACAGTTTCCAGTAGCTAACAGAAATATTTATTCTGCATATCTCAATTGTAGTCCACTATTGCCTAAAAGGAGAAGTATTGTATATTTGAAATCTTTGTCATTATTATGTCCATTGTAAACAGCTATTTAGACAGAACTAAAGCTACTGTAAGTGGTCTCCCAAAACTCATAGAGGGAGCTGACATGCTGTTCAGCTGGAAACAGCCTTCTTGAAGGAGAATTGATGTGAATCCTTTTGTAAAGGAGATCTGTGCTCTGAGCACTCAAAATACATCATAGAATACTAATCACACTACTTCCCAAAGCAAAAGAAAAATAAAAAAAGGATAGAGTGCATCACTGAACTGAAAAGGGTACATCTCTTTGGAGGCATTTCAGGAGGGAAAAAAAAGAATGCCTGTCTGCCTGATCTATATGGACTTAAAGAAGGACCCTGAAACAGTACAGCATAAATATTCCATTTGTGTTTATGTTTCCCCATATGAGAAAGAGAAGGACAGATCTCATCCTGGCTAAATGAACACAGCTCATGAGTGAGGCAGGCATGCTAACAATATCATCTTCTTACCCAAATGTGCTGGTGGAACTTGGGGGAGTGCAGGAAGAAAAGGCACAGAGGAGACATTACTGAAAAGAAAGGTGGAACTGCTTTGTTCTGTCTTTTTTTCTGGAATGTGAGTTTTTTCCCCCAGGATAAAATAGTGGGGCTGCACATCTCAGACAATAGATCAAACAGAAAGCACCCACCTCTTCAACCACATGATGCAGAACTTGTGCTGCATGAGGTGAAAAGAGTCATAAATGGGTCCAAAAAGCACTGTTTGGCACATCTTATTAAAATGTTTCACCTTCATCTTATGGAAGGATAGTAAACTTCAGTATTAAGAATATTTTTATTTTTTTTTTTCATAACAAAAGGGAAAGATTGTCTAATGGTCCCAGTGCTTTGAAGCAGAATACTTGCTATACTTGTCTGTATTAAAGTGCTGTAGTAGTAAAAATTGACTCTTTGATGCTGTCATTCTTTCACTGTAAAATGAGCAGCTCATAGGAGGAAATATATTGGCTCTGAATGTAGCCAGAAAAAAGAGTTTTCTTCCAATAGTTTTTTCTTGGGTAAGACTTTTTATACTGTGTTTGACATTCTGAATTACATGATTATATAGTATAAGACTCCAGCAACATTTTGCATTGTAAAGATGGAGATGCTCAGCATTTTGCCAGATGCCAAGTGATATTCTGATATTTCTATCTTCACTTTAAACGGAGTGACAGTCAGCATATTCACAATGAAGCCAAGACAATCTGCTATCAAGTTACAGTAGTGATATTTTCCCTGATGAAGATCCCAGAGCTTGTTGGAATAAAGCTCCTTAAAACTCAGTGTCTGGAATAGCTCCAGCTTGAATTGCTCTCTGTGTAATATAATTTTATATTTGTGCCAGTCTAATAAGTAGATCACTGGGTAGAGGCTTTTGTAAGTAAGTCTATACGTACTGCACCATTTCCTGGCTCTGTGCTCCAGTGTGTTGCAGGCTGTGTGCAGTGGGGGAGGTGCCAGAGCTGATCAAGCAGTGTAATTTTATACATTACTGAATCAGTGCAGGAGAAACCTGGAGGGACAAAGCATCATCTTCTCTTTGGACTGCACTGTAAAATCCTACAGCTCTCTTAGCCCAGCCATGCTCTGATACATTTTTTTCTCTCCTTTTTCTGATTTTGGTGTGAATGATAGAGTGATCTGATGATGGCTCTCGTTATGGAACCTATTAGCAAGTGGACGCCCAAGCAAGTAGTGGATTGGATGAAAGGTATGATCATTTATTACCATGTATTGTCTGTACTTTGGATCCTTGCAGTTTACATATCTGCTCTTGTATTCTTTGTTTTGTGAAGAGTTTATTCAGTTTTAATAATCCCTATGCTGCTTTGCACAGTAGTTTTTAAAGACACGACTGAGGAGAGAGGCTGTTTAAGCTGTGCAGCATGTTGTTGGAATTTCTGCTGAGAACTGAGTAGGGATCAAATGCATTTGTTGGTAAATGCAGACATAAAGTGTTTGTGCCTCATAGCTCCATTATGCACTGCACAGTGTAACGTTGTGATGTTTGGTTGCTTTAAATTTGCCCTGATTAGGTCTGTTTTGCTCATATCAGGTGATCTGATGCAGTGGCTGTGCAGCACTTGTGTGTAGTTTAGGGTACCACAAGGAGCATAAGGTGCCGGCGGCTGGACTGAGGAATTCTGCTCCCTCGGTGACATGTCCTGATTTGTCCAGGCTTCCCAGGCGCTCTGGCTGTGCCCAGCGCGCCCGCGTCCCCGTCCCTCGCCGGTACCGTGGACAGTGCAGCCCGTGCCGTGTGTGCGTGGGGGACACGCAGGGCTGAGCACGGCTTCGCTGGGGAAACTCTTCCCGAGAACTTGACAGGAATGATGATTTCCCTGCACATTCGCAGTTTCACAACACAGCCATAAGCTGTGACATGTTTTGCCTTATAATGCTCGGCTGTGCTGCAAACAGACTGGGTTGGATGGGAGGGTGAAGAATTGTTCGTGATAAGTGTTTTAAATTTCTCCTGAGTGGGGAAAAATGCATTTCCACAGTAGGATGCATTACTGTTGTTATACATCGCTTCTGATGAGCTGTCTGTCTTAAGAGACAAGTAATTTCTGCTACAAGGGCTCTCCATTATGTAAGGAGAAGAGGTCCAAATTTTGTTTGTACGTTACTCATGGAAATAATTCCTGTAATGTCATTACTGAACTTATTGGAGGGCTGAATTGGATGCCCACTATAACATCCCTAAAGCATTATTCGAAGTGTTATCATTAATAAGGGAATGGGTCTGATTTAATTTTGCTGAGATACGTCTCCATACTTAACTAAAATTGGGCTGTTTAGTTGCTCATCAGACACATTACAGTCACGAGCAAACTCTTCTTCTACAAGCACACAGTATTCTGAAGCTAATGGTATCTAAGGGAATTAAAGTACTTTGTTTCTCAGGTGTTTGTGAACTCAGGTGAATTGGGAGGTCTTAAGCAGGTCATTGGGATGAATACCAAACCCATTAGATACGGGATTGATTCCTGTACTCCAGTGTCATTACTTGAAATTGATTTCTAATGTATGTGCAGAGTTTTCTGATCCACACCTTTATTTTCAGTGCGTACAAGATTTTAAAAGTGGACAGATCGTTATGGTGTTTTAACTCATTACTCAAACTGTAACTTAAATTACATGTATAATTATATAATACTTGTTGCTAAATTTAAAAGTGCTTCCTGCTACTTTTTTATCCTTTTTGATGTAAACTCATTACATCTTGGGTAACAGGAATCCATAACATGTAGTGCATACCATGGGAAGCAAGAAGGTCATACAACAACAGTTTTTTAAATGTATGGAGTTTCTTGCCAGTTACATTTCTGTACAGAGACTGCATACTGCATCTGTAGGGACGTCTGGTGTAGACAGTATTGTTAGTTGTGTGCCTCTGGGCTTAAGCATAAATAAGTGTAAAGCAATGAACACTGAAGTATTCACAAGATAGATATTTTTCTTGGTAACCTGAGTGCTACAGAACCACAAACAGTAAAATTACACATTTGTCCATTTTTACCATGCTAATATTACAAGCCCCTTTTTTCTCCCTGTGTTTACCTTCATGAATGCATACTTCAGCTGTGGCCAAAGACCTAACATACCCAAACGGAAGCATACCAGAATTAGTTTAAAATTACTTGTAAATCCCCTACTTTACAAAAAGTGGCCAATTGTGACCACTGCTTGCCTGTATTTTATATATTCTTTATGTGAGCTCCATTAGCTACAGTCATTCTCCTAAACAGCTATTAATGCATTAGGGAGGTCGAAGGTCTGCGTGGGTAGTAATATTCAAGTGATAAGGTAGCTTTTACGTATGTCTTCTATACTGAAAGGTACACTTTGTCAGCATTAAGGGATATAGTAAAGACATTTTAGAAAAATTACCATGCTATGAATGTGGAATATTATCTTTGCTATAAAAGCAACATGTTAATAAACAATATAACAAATATTGCAAGCGCAATATACCTTTTTTGGCTTAAAAATACGTAGTCAATTAGATTTATCTGTAAAGGTTGTAAATGATCATATTCCATAGGGAAATTATCCTAATATGTCTTTTAAACTTGAATTTATTATAATTATTTAAGCTATCGTACCTTACTTTTAAAAACTGTTAGCGAAGTACATGTTTTGAAGTTAACAAGCAGTAAGTACCAGCAACATCAAATAATCAAAGATGGAAGAAAGCCACAAAAATGATGTTAATATTTTGAGACCTGACTACCCAGAATGCATCCCGATTACAGCGTGCTATTACCAGAAGCAGCTGTAGCGTAAGCCCCAACCAAGAGGAGACACCCTTCTGTTCTTTTCCTTCAGGAAATGTTACTTGCCAAAGAAGTAAAAACTGGTAGGCTTTAAGGAACATTATTATGACAAGTTGGCATCTTGTATTTATCCACAGTTCCTTTCTTGGGAATACATTCAACTGGAATTAAACTTGGAAACTGCATCTGATGACATGGACAACCTGAAAAGGCCATGCAAGTCTTTAGAAATTGATTCTTGGAGGATCTAGAAGTTAAGACTCTAGATACCTTTGTGGCAAAGTATCTGTCTTTATATGAAAATATTTTGTAAACTTTAGCAAATACACAGCAGAAGGCACTGTAGTTAAAAAGAAAGTTTTCAAAGGAGCAGAAACATTAATTGTGAAAATATTTTTAACAACAGTTTTCAGACACTTTTTTTTTTCTCAAAGTTTTCCAAATTTTAAGTTCCTCTAAAGGGTTTTCAGTTCAGAAAATGAGCCAGTATTTTTCCTGGTATGTACCAATTTCTTACATAATTCAAATGTTTTCCTGGGGTATGGACTGTGGACCTGAAAGGTACTTTAAGTGAAAGAACTTTGCCATGCTCAAATTCCATTTTGGCACTGTTGGGAAAAAAAATATTACCCATGAAGTTTACAAGTTACATTAAGAATCAGAGTAATTTTCTGACTGGGTCAGTTTTTCCTTTGATTAAGTGTAACATATTAACACGAGTAAATGACAAACTACACATCTGCAACACTTCTACCTGGAGACTTTGATTGCCTTTTGGTCTATGAACTTGAAACTCAGTGCCACTTTGCAGTTGTGAACAGGTTATCAGAGTCTGCACACCTAAAGCAAAGACCATCAACTCTATTATCCATCCATGCTCCAGGGAAGGTAATCCTGTACAGAATTGAGGGTTTTGGGGCACGGGGGGGGAGATATGATGTCTTACTGCTGACTCTTATTTGCACTTAGAATTAATAAAAGCATGATAGTTTGTGTTCTCCTTGTAAATAGAATCTAAAAGGTATTCTCTGTACTTTTACAAATAACAGCGTTTAAGGTTTTGTACTTCCTAAGTGAAGCAGTTTTACAAGTAGGTCATTTAAAATGTGATCTCATTTACAGTGAAGTGGCTCCTCTGTCCACATAAATAGTAACTTTTCAAAACAATGAAATGAAATTAAATACAACACAATGAAATACAGCCGTGACTTTCAGAGAATGGAATGTTATTAAACAGCTGAAAATTAAAATAGAAAACCAGTTATTTCATAAGTACCTGTAAGGAATAACTCCACATGGAGTCAGTTATTCAAAGTCTTGAGGACTGACACTAAGGTTTGTCTGCCAAAACAGCCTGCAGTAGAGGTTTCTCTCATAATGAATACTCAGCTTTAGATACTCATTTCACAACTGTAAGCCATGTTTTCCCCTTTAAATCTAGAATTTCTTCACTCTCAACAGGAGATGCAGACATGAAAAAATAAAAATTAATTCAGTTGGTAAACTGATTAACTGTGCTGCACTGATCCTGTGCAGAATAATTATATGTTTAGCTGAAGGGTTTTCCTTAGCATGTAATTCCCTGAATTCAAGCTGGCTCATAAAAGAGAAAGGAAGGGAGGGAGGGGGGAGCTGAGAGCAGGGAAGCTGATGACGTGAGTGGACTTGTTAGTATTCACATCACGCAGGGCTCCGGCAAACCCCTTCTCAGACGTCTTTGCTTTTCATTAGATCACTACCTGTTCTGTCGAATATGTCATAACCAGGGAGTCTCCTCTATTTACAGAATGTAATATATGAAATCTGAGAGCATACTGGAGACACAGCTAAATACTATGATCTAGTGCGACAGCAGCCTTGTAGGTACTGAGCTGGATGATACTTAGTTTTCTTGATCACCCTTCATGACCTCAGAATCCCATAATGCAAGAACTCGACTTCACAAGGTACAATTTGAAACTTGAGTATATAACCCAGGTCGTATCTTATTTAGAAAAATGTAGGGTTTATAACATCTTTTCAGTTATTTCTGAAGACAAATAGGTTTGGAAGAGAACTGAGATGCCCTCAGAATTAGCATTGAATTTTCAAGCAGTTCTAAAGCAAAGGTTTCATCATTTTCCTTCTACTTTCACCAATTTCAAAACTGAAACGATTAATTTACTGTTGTGGTTCCCCCATGGATTACTGTGTTCCACTAGTACCACCTTTCCAGTTGTTGCTATAGTCACTAAATCAGAATTGTCCTCTCCGATTCATCTTAAAAGATTTGGACTGTAATACTTTTCAGTAATACATTTTGGCAACAGCTACTCTGTTGAATTTTTTAAGCTGTTTGCTTTAAAAAGGTCAGCAGAGCACACCTCAGAGTTGACTATGCAATATAAGAGGCTAAAGTCAGATTTCAAGAAACAGGTTCCCAGTATTAGGT